AGTTTAAAGTTGAATGAACAGATAAGTATGTGTTTATTTTGCCCTAGGCCGGGCCTAATCATGATCATGCTGGATAACCGCGCGTGCACGCCTGTTTTAACACACTGCAGCAAAACAATAATTTTAATGGAAGAAGATGTCGGCCTCATTGAAAAGAATTGATGAAGAGAATAGACAGTTTAAAGTTGAATGAACAGATAAGTATGTGTTTATTTTGCCCTAAGCCAGCTCGAATCAGTAACCTTATTGCTGTGAGGCCATTGTGCTACCCACTGCACCACCGTGCTGCATCTTATGGATGTTTATTAAAAACAAGTTATGTAATATCAATTGTTTCATACCTTTGACCTTAATAAAAAAAAAAATCTGATTTGGACCTTTTAATGTAGACATTGAGAACCTTTGTTTCAGGCTATCATTAACAGATAGACCCAGATCATGAGCCTAGAAATCTGCACTGGACTATTTTTTCAGTCTGATTCCCACTGGGTTTTATTTTGCACCCAATCGCCCCTGCTATTTATTTACTCTTTGTTTATTTAAAACAAAATTCTTCTGACTGTTAATTCCCTGTTAAGACAGCGGTGAAGCCGAATGGTCTCTCTTTGCTGAACCTTTATGTTCTGTGCTGATCTGGGTCAGTCGGCATGAATATGGTTTCATTTTCCACACTGGGGCTGATAACAGAGTTCTCTGGAATTAATGTTAATAAAAATGCATTGTTGCCTTGGTAATGTAAGCGTAATTTTTAACAAGAAATGTGAAAAAGTGGCATGAGAATATTGTCAAATGTGCGAGTCTTGTAAAATAATAAAAATTCAACATATATCCTCCAATTTTAATTTTAATTTGAAGCAAGCTAACAAAAAATACAAGGCATTTTGTAAAACTGTACCAAAAGTTTAAATTATTAATTTAACAGTTTAATTGTTAATAGAAAAATATATTTAATTCATTATTATTATTATTATTATTTTACTTTTTTTACATAGGTGGTACCATGGCTCAATGCTTAGCACTGTTGCCGCACAGCAAGAAGGTCACTGGTTCGAGTCTCGACTGGGCCAGGAGTGTTTCTGTGTGGAGTTTGCATGTTCTCCGTGTGCTGGTGTGGGTTTCTTCCGGGTGCTCCGGTTTCCCTCACAGTCCAAACACATGCGCTATAGGTAAATTTAATTTACTAAAATTGCCGTGGTGTGTGAGTGTTAATGAGAGTGAATGGGTTGTGGCTGGAAGGGCATTCGCTGCGTAAAACATATGCTGGACTAGTTGACAGTTCGTTCCGCTGTGGCAACCCCTGATAAATAAGGGACTAAGCCAAAAGAAAAAATAATAATTGAGTTTTAAGACTGTCTGGACTCGGACGGACTCGACTCGGACTCGGATGTAAAGGACTTGGACTTAAGTCTGACTCAACCCCTTTTGGACTCGGACTTGGACTTGTACTCGACTGGTTAAGGACTTGGTCTTGACTTGGACTCGACAAAGGTGGACTCGACCCCAACTCTAGAAAGGTGCAACTCATGATCCTCCTCAACTCATTTCTGTATACTCAGTTTGACAGAAGAGATCATAATGGAGTTTTGCTTGGTGACAGTGGGCATGCTCAGAAGGATTTCAGCTACAGCCAGGCTCATATGCACACAAGGGCTTTAGTCGAGCGCATGTTCGGTGTTTGGAAGAGTCGTGTTCAGTGCCTTAGGAAAACACTCAGATTGAAAGCAAGTAGATGCTGCACTGCTGCAGAGACTGTGGCATCTTCTGCTGATGCTCCAGTCTCTGAGGTGGCAGTAGAGTCTGAATCAAATACATTGACTCTGGCTGAAATTGTTGCAGGCGCTTCTGTTGTACCTGCTTCAGTTAATTCTGAGATAGATGGCATGAATGGTCACATTGTTACGCCAGTATTGACAGAAAATATAGCAGTCACTGGAAAAAGCAACAAGGCTGGAAATGAAGCGGAAATGCAAACTGAGGCATTTTTGAAAGCTCCAATGAGGTAAGACGACAACAACACAGGCCAAAGAAGACAAGAGTGAGACTGAAAGTACAGTTTCAGACAGCGATTGTTAAGACTCCAGTGATTCAGGCTGCTCTTTTCTTCATCACTAAATGAGGATGAAGAGCAGCTAGTGGTGTACAACACTGAACAACTAACTCAGCTTTCAAGAGAAACAAAAAGACTGCGAGATGTTGAAGCTGAAGACTATTGTCCAGATCCATCTGCTCTTATAAGAGATGTAAAGCGGTGCATGAAAGAAGGAGCTTTCTGTGATCAGGAAGTGTAGCATCTTAGAAAATCCATGATAAAAATGAGAAAACAAATGCGTGAAGATGAAGAACAGGACATGGTGTGATAGCTTCTTCTGTTTTTAAATGTTTTTTTCATTTATGAGAGACATTAAGATTGGAGCTCTACACTTGAATGCTGCTAGAAACAGTCAGAAGAGAATGTGTCTGTCTGAGTTTATAAAGATAAAACGTATTGATGTGACCTTCA